AAAACTGAAAGCAATACTTCAACCATCAAGACTTCATAGTAACACCATTTCAACAACAATAAATAATCAGAACACAGACCTGGACAACTTCCACAATAGTACGCATAACTGCAGCAGCTGCTCTTTCTGTGTAATGCCCCCTTGCCACAATCCTATCAAACAACTCTCCTCCCTCACACAATTCCATCACAATGTGCACAGCAGAATCATCCTCATAACTAGCCTTTAAGGACACAATATTTGGATGAGCAGGCAAATGCTTCATTATCTCCACCTCCCTCCTCACGTCCTCGATATCCACAGCAGTCCTTAGCTTCTTCTTCGATATAGACTTACAGGCAAACTTCTCACCAGTTTTTATATCAGTACACAAATACGTAACACCGAACTCACCACGGCCAAGCTCACGACCCAGATCATAATGGGCCAAGATATCCCTTCCAGTAGGTTCTTTCAAGACCCCAAGCTTATCCACATTTCCGGATTCATTGGTTACAGCATAATCATCACCAAAGAATGGATTTTTCTTCTCCTTCTTTTTCCCTTTGACTTTCTTCTCAGAGGAAGAAGCCCCAGTAGGGGTTACACAGCAATTACCCATGAATCAAGACCTCTCTCCACAACTTTCAATTTCTCCAGAAAAATGAAGATCTGCAAAGATTTCAAGAATATCCAATTAAGCAAAAGAAACAACAGTTAACATTTTTATCTCCCTCCACAATAACCACAATTAACAATATCACATTTTTTACTTATAAACATTAATTTGCTTCCAAGAAAAAAAAAAGTAAATATGTTTTTAAAGGAAGATAAACAACTCCGTGAAAGTTTGAGCCTTTTACACAAAGCTTTGATTTTGAAAGAAACCCGGAAAAAAATTAAGAATAAATTTATGCTCAAACACAAAGAAAAGCAGATATATGCAGCAAGTATTCATGAAAGACTAGCTATTATGGCATAAACAAAAACTGGCAAGAAGATAAAGCAAAAATATCTGCAAGACATAAAATTAATACTAAAAGAATTCAACAAACTAAAAAAATCAAGCAAATGTATAGCTCAAAATAGTGATATTATTGATTACAAAAGTAGGGAAAAAGAATCCACCTTGAAATGCTGTTGATTTTAAGACTTGAAAGGAGAATCTGGAGAATACCCAGGTGAGCTTGAATAGCTAGTTAATTATAAATTGATGTAATCCAAGTGGAAGAATGCGAACAGGAAGACAAAGGGTCTTAAAACGAGAGACAAGGGGAGGGGGTCAAAGAAGCTCTTTTTCTCTCTCTTGCAGAGAGGCCCTCCAACCTTTTTCTCTCCTTCTCTGCCTAAACGCTGGAGACAGAGAAACAACTACCCTTTTGCCTTTTCCTGCTTTTCTATTAAAAAATATGCCAACAAACCTTAGACCCACATTATGCCCAGGTAAACAAGACACCAACCTCAACATTATCTTGCTATATTTCTAAAAAAGCAACAGCTATTATATTTCTTGCTTTTCAAACATCCCCCTCAAGTCTCTGTTTTTTTTTCTATTCTGGGTTAGTTTTAAAGAAATTTTCTTAAGTTTTTAGAACAATGCATTTGCAGATAAATAAAACAAACACTTTTTGATTTTTTACCAGCTAAAATAGGCCACTTGTCCTTTTCGAAATCAAGAAGGAAAAGGGGAAGATGAAGAAGCAATCGTTCTGGGTGTATTATAGGTTTCTATTTTTAGGTGTCGTATAAAAAAGAAAATCAATATAATTTGTTGTTTTCAAAGGGCAGAGAAGCAAAAGTCATGGTATAATAATAAAAAAAGAAAGGCGAGTGAAAAAGGAAACATACCAACTTGGATTTGAGACGTGTTGGTTGGAGAGGTGAGTGAAATTCTAAGCACATTTATGAATGGTTTTGACCATAAGTTAATCTCCATCATTGATTTTTATCCAAAGCATTCCTTGCACATCACACAATGGGGCCTGACCTAATCATATTTGAAATTTGATTATTGGTCAATTTATCCTGTGATCTAGTTTGAATTTCTATTCTTTGTATCGGGCTGTGATGTTACTGTTTATATTCAAGACCTGCATTGTAAAAGACTTTTTGGAGTTACTTGGACATGATTGGGAATACAATACAAGTGTGATTGTTTTTCTTTAAAATATATATATATATATATATATATATTAAAATGATATTTTTTTATATTTAAAAAATTATTTTTATAATTAACACATTAAAAAAATCAAAAAATATAAATAATTATTTTTTAATAAAAATATATATCTTTTTAAATATAATTTACATCACATTCTCAAATATTCTCTTATTTTATATTGTAATTTGAATAGCTAGTTTTCACTTTTTACTCTTTTTTCTGGTTTTTTTTAATTTTTTAGTTGCACTTGATTATATAATCCTATTTATTTTACAAAAAATATTTTTTTAGAAATTAGTTTCTAAACTTTTAAAAGTATTGGCCAATAAAAAATGTTTTTTGATAAAAGAAATCTTGACTTAATTTTTTAAAAAATATTTTTTATTTATTTTGAGCTAAAAATATTTTTTTAGAGAATTGTAACAAATTTAAAATGTCTTGTTATTGGTTAATTATATTAAATTTTGTTGTTAATATTTTAATTGTTATAAATTTTGTTTTTTAATTTTATTTCTTGAAATTTGATTTAATTTGATTTTTTATTAATTTTAGCCCTCATTTTTTTTATTATTTTATCCCAGAAAAATCTGATTGGTTAAATAAAATTAATGATAAGATTGAAATTTGAGAATTTATATAAACTTTACTTCTTATATTTAAATTATCAAAGAGCAGGAGAAAAAACCCTCGAGTTCAAATTCATAGATGGAGGAGGCACATATGTGATCATCAGATTAGATTCAGATCCAGATCCATTAAAAATAATGAAACGTTATTATGGAAAGTCTTTCTTCGGGCAACATTATCCTGAATGGTTTTCACTTTACCGCAAGCTCCGTCTGCATCTGTCTCTCTCGTAAAACTAAAAAAATGTCTGTCCAGTTGGCCATTCTTGGACTCTACCTGGAGGATCCATTTTAAATTAAATTTACAAATAATAAGTTGAGAGAGTAAATTATACAGGGGCTGTTTGTGATTTTTGAAAAAAAAATGCTTGAAATTAATTGTTTTTTTAATATTTTTTTATTGTTGAAATTAATTGTTTTTTTAATATTTTTTTTATTGTTTTGATGTTCTAATATAAAAAATAATTTTTAAAAATAAAAAAACATATAAAAAACCACTTCATAGCACGACGCTATCGGTTTTTCAAACATTAGCAGCATACAATCAATTAGCTGTTCTTCAGGTTGGTTCTGCGATAGAGCTCACTGCTCACGCACCAAACAAATATGATGGCAGCGAGAAAAAGGGCCTTGTTGTCCACTTCCTAGCTAGCAGGTGTGCCCAAGAATGGTCCATATGTTGCTGTAATTCTCACTTTTTAGCTACAGATCGATCCATGTCTTCCTACTTTCCTTTTCACGGACCACTTTATTCTGCAAAATTTCCCAAGATCAATGGCATTTGTAGCTACTGGGGAGTGACTAGAGTTCAACACTTTAGCCAGTAGATGCCCTACGTGCTTAGAGAAAAACAGGAAAAAAGAGACCACAACTATGGCTTTTGGCCATGCTCGAAAGCGAAAGATGACTTGCCATTTTCCAAGTAAATAAATTGCGTATCAAATTTGATAATCTAATAGATGATGCTCCTGGTTTGGATTTCCTTTTTTTCATTTTCACCCACATTAATCTAAAAAAAAAAAAGAAAAAAAGAGACCACAACAATGGCTTTTAGCTATGCTCGAAAGCCTAAAGATGACTTGCCATTTTCCGAGTAAATAAATTGCGTATCAAATTTGATAATCTAATATAGATGATGCTCCTGGTTTGGATTTCCTTTTTTTCTTTTTCCCTTCACTTGTCGACAAGCTGAGTGTTTCCAGCTGAGTTACAAGCCACTTAACCCGTATCAATCTGCACTCTGCAGAGATGGATCGATGCCTTGGCACCTGTCAGCCTCTATCGGAATTCGCCTCTATCAGATGGATCGTTTTTGCCAACGTATAGTGCAGGCTACCTTTAGAAGAAAGCTCTGCTAGCCTACTAGCCAAGTAGCAGCTCCCAAATCATCAAGAAATTACTTGAGAAATCGAGCCTGGGCCTTGTGTATGGCTACTCAACTAGAATAATAATAACTATAAAATTGGGCTAACATGGGACAAAAATCCGGCCCAGTAAAATATCGGAGCCCAAAGCACAGCAGTCCTTGCCTGCTCAGGCAAGACAACATGGGGAGGTCACTTGACTTGAAACCACTGTTTGAAAAACTCAGTGAGCAAATGATGAAGATAGGAAACTTGATAATGCTACCTTTTTTTTGTTAGCCATGCGGGCTAACATGGGACAAAAATCCGGCCCAATAAATTATCGGAGCCCAATTGATACAAACCGAAGCCACAACCCACAAAAGCTCCAAAGCACAGCAGTCCTTGCCTGCTCAGACAAGACAACATGGGGAGGTCACTTGACTTGAAACCACTGTTTGAAAAACTCAGTGAGCAAATGATGAAGATAGGAAACTTGCTAATGCTACCTTTTTATTGTTAGCCATGCCAAAACAATGTCGGTTTCGAGAATAGAAAAATATTAAAATATAATGTGAAGAGGTTTTCTTTTTTTTTCTTTTTGAAAATTGAATTGAATTGAATTGAATTGAATCCGCTCCCAGCAAGGAGTTGATTGAACCATGGTGGTAATCCGGATGGTATCAGGAAAACACAAAACTCCTACAAGTCACATACTCACCAAGTATAAATTATGAGTTCATATATTTTGCCCTAAAGTTCATATGGTATCAGGAAACACAAAACTCCTTCCCCAGCAGCAATCTTGTAGTTTTATTTGTTCTTGTCTATGTCCATGATCTCCTCCTTCCTTTGAGAATATCTATTGCAGGATTCAAAGCCCCAATAATGGCCGTCAACAAGGAGGAGCTGGAGTTTCTTGAAACAAGAAAGCTGCTTAAAGAACAAATCCGAAAACGAAACTGTTCTCATCATCTCTCGGGGCTGTCTAATTCTGATCGTCATAAAACAAAAACTTACGGATCATTCTTTGGCCCTTCTCAACCGAGTATCGCTCCAAGAGTTATTCAAGAAAGCAAAAGCAAGCTACAAACCCAGATGCCACAACATAGAGCAGTAAGTGCCGATATCCTTCTTTCTGCAATGGACAATCGGACCAAAGTCCAAAGGCTTCGACAGACAAGAGACTACTCTTTCCTGTTCTCTGACAACAATAATGATCTGACGCCACCAGTTTCTAGTGCCACCCCTGCACAAGCATCGGTGCCTTCAACAAAGCACTACGCAGATGTGAAGGGATTAAGAAAATGCAATGACCCTAAATTGAAGCCGAAACAGCCAGCCTTGGCATGTCCATTGAAGCCTCTCACAAGCGAGCGGGTAATGGAGAAAATCCCATCGCGTATGTCCTTGCAATATCAATGTACAGATAAAAGAAAGCCTATAGTCAAAGCAGTTCATCCAACAAAGCAGTTCGCGGGTTGCAACGATAGCAAGGGACCACAAAGACCCAACGATGCAACATTGAATCCCAAACAGCCAATGAAGCCACATGAGATGACAAACAAGCGAGTACGCGACAATATTTCATCGCCTGTCTCTAATTTGCAAGATCATCGTCCCAAGAAAAGAAGGCTTTCAGATGAAGAAGATGATTGTGAAGATGAAAAGGCTCTTCTCATAATCAGAAAAATGTTCAACACCAAAAGGTTTGCTGGTCGTGACGATAGAGATATAAAAATGGAGGCAAGCTTTGGAGACATAACGAAGGAAGAAAAAAGGAGTGAAAGGCTTGGCAGGAAAGAAGATCGAGAGCAACTCCGCCTATTAGAAGAAAACGCGAGGCGTCAGAGGATGAGGAAGCATAATCAAGGAACAAAATTTTTGATATAGGCCTACGTTAGATATGGCTAGTTCACGGTTCTTGATTTTGAATCTGTACCTTTTTCTTTTAGTAACCTGTTATTTTTAGTTAAAACAGCAAGATAGGTAGCGTGTATTATACCGCGGACTGAGTCGGAAAAAAATTTAATACAAAAAAAAAATTAAAATAATAATAACATAGGTCAATTTAAATTAATTTAATTCAAGAAACAATAATTAATATCAAAATAATGAAAGTGAAAAAAATCTTTTAAAAAAATAATTAAGAAAAAAATTGAATAAACTTGGGTTAACTCTACTAATCCACCATCCGTGACATGAGATCAATAAAAAAATAATTAGATTTAAAAAAAAACCTACAAAAAAAACACAAAGTTAAATAAAAGAAATGCTGAAAAAACCGTAGGATAACCAGGGTTAACTTAACTGATTCATATTTAGGATAACTTCACATAAAAAAAACAAAAAAAAAAAAACTACAAAGCTTAATGGTCAATAATGTAATGTTAAAGGATGAGGTTGCTAAAAAAAACTCGAGTCGATCCGAGTTAAATCGACTAATCTATTACTCGGAATATGAGACTAGAATAACCCAATAAAATATAAAAAATAACAAAATTCGAGGTCCAATAACTCAAATGTCAAATGATGAATTTTTTTAAAAAAATCAATTTATAATAAAATGACAAAAAAGAACTCAATTTGCACCCAGATCATGAGACTAAAATTACCTTATAGAAAGATGTACATTAAAACATAACATAGTATAATTTCCAACTATAAAATAATTCAAATATAAATAATGCAAACTAAATTTAATATAAAATCTAAATAAAAGAAAATAATTAAAAAATAAATTAAATACGAACCCAAATAATTAGAGATAAAATTGAAAATGATAAGAAAATAATAATAAAAAATAAGGATCCAAATTCAATTAAAAAAGTAAATAAAATAAGAAATTGATGGAAATTTGAAAAATAAAAAAAGATTAAAAAATAGCATTAAAAAAAAGGGTCCAAAATTGGATAAAAATAAATGCAATAAAATGATCAGGAATTGAAAAAATAATAAATTAAGAAAAGGATAGAACACCAAAAAAAAAAAAAAGCAATAAAAAAAATAAGGATAAAATTGAATAAAAAAATAAAATTCACATGGATCAAATTAAAAAAAAATCTAAAATTGAAAAGGCATAAAAAAAACTAATAATAATCAAAAGAATAAGAATCAAAATCGATTGGAAAACACAATTGTTTTTTGGCATAAATTTCTAGGCTAAAAGAAAAGAAGAGAGAGAAAATATAAAAAAAAGTCAACCGTGTCTTTGCCACAAGCACACACTACATTACCAGAAAAGGAATGATGTGTTGCTCCTAACACTATCCTGAATAGTAAAATTTGATAGTCGGACAGCTTAACATGTACCTTTCAAATGACATGGAAATAATCATGCGTTGCACATGTTAATATTTTTTTTAATCATATTCAATCTTTTAAAATGACTAAACAGCTCCTAGATCAACCTAAAAATAACAAAAAATAATAATAAATAAAAATAAAAAATACCCTTGAAACTATTAGTATAATTTTTTATTATTATTTTAAAGGTAATATTGTAAGTTTTGTTAAAAAAATTGAAAATACAAAAAAAATACCTCTTGTACAAGTTTTATTTTTAGTTGCTCTAAAAGGTATAATTGTAGTTTTACTAAGCAAATAATAAAAATACAAAAAAGTCAAGATACATATTTTTTATTATTTTTAAGGCCAACAAAGTAATTTAACTATACAAAAACTTTGTGTCCCCAACCAATCTTATAATGTCCGACATATATATATATAAAACAAAGTGATGTTTTTTATTCCTTTTTTTTTTGTCAAAACCAAATCAAATGGATTTTTATACATAAATAATAAGTACACACATAAATATAAACATACACATATATAAAGGACAACAAGGCAACAAAATCCCAAGTAAAATTGTATGATTTTTCATATAATAGAAAAACCAATTCTATAACACTTCTTTATTAATAACATGTTTATTAGAATTGAAGTACTTGCTTGAACCATTAACCTATTCTTGCTTGATGGAACAACAAAATATCTCTCCTTCTTTACCTCATGTATTTATAAATAAGATTATTTGATATTTAGATAGTGATTAATCACATGTTCAGATCAATATTTTTTTTTTAAAGCTTAAAATCTCTTATACATTATTAATAAAAGATAAATGTTCATTATATATTATTAATAAGATGAGAATATAGTAGGGTTTTGGAAAACTTTTTATATATTTATAGATATAAAAAGATGATTATTCCTAATATGAATATTTCATATTAAAAGTTTTAAGAATGAATAAACAAAGCTCTATAATCCTAACATAAGTTTATAATGACTCTTAGACTAATTAGGCTTCACACGTAGCCAAGTCCAATAAAAGTCAATCTTGCAACTTATTAGACCCATGTTTACTCGAGTACAACATTTGACTGGAGTGGTAGCTCACTAGACCTATGCTTACTTGGATTCAGCGCATAGCCAAATCCAAATATGTTGAGTTTGGTAATTCTCCATACCTACACTTATTTGGTATTAACTCGTGACCCTATCCAAGTTTGTTATATCTTACAAGTTGCTAGGTTTATGCTTTAGGCATGACCGAACTCAAATCTGTTGGGTTTAGTATATCGTCAAGTCTGTGTTTATTTAGGCTTAACTCGTGGTTGAACTCAAATATATTGGGTTTAGCAGCTTATTAGACTCATATTTATTTAAATTTAAAATATCAAACTCAAGTATGTTAGATTTGACAACTCGCCATACTCACTTTTCGGTGGATACCTTCTTCAATGGGCTTCAAAAATGCTGATTCATCAGCAATGTTTCTACTAAACAACAAATAATACAGGCTGATGTTTAAAAAGAATGGAGAGAAGTAGAGCGCCCTGTTCTTTCTCATTTTATCCTGATGGCTCATACATTTTCTTAACATGACAAGCAGGGGAAAAAAACCCGCTCTTCTCTTTATATTTTTTGAAAAGTTGAAACATTTCAAGCCAAAACTTGACTTACAGCATATCTGATAGATTCATATCCAAAAGAGGTTGAAAATAAGTTCTTTTAGAATAGAATATTTGCTCCTCTGTTTTTGCTTCTTAATTATTGCCACCTCCAGAGCTTTGTATAAGAACTTCAGACATTAATGGCAGCAGCTGCAAAATAGCTTCTTTGGGAGGTTCTCTTTCCATTGTAGTAGCAGTAATTTCTTGAATCGTTTCAGGTTCTGGCTTGGGTAGTGGCCCGTCTACGGATGGTTGTAGCACTGTAAGGAAGAATATGTTGTAGAAAATTGTGAAAAGAAAGAGAGCTGCAGCAGTGTATACCAGGACAGACCCTGAAACTTCTGGCACTTCTTCTGTCATTTCATCTCTTGTAAGTTTCACGTCAGAAGCTGCAATCAGGTTGAAGAAAACATGTTTCAGCTTAGACGGTATTATCAAACCATTAGGCATTGCCTTCTGATCATATTCATAATTACTCACCCCTAAAGCTCGTAATTGGTAGCTTGAATGTTAATACTGACTAATTTGGAGAAGGAAATTCAGAAATTTTATTTATTTGATCAGTGATTACAGATAATGCATCATGCTCTGGAAATTCATATTATCTTGTTAGTTAGCACCCATGTGAATATCATCTAGAGAGCAAAACTATACTGCCCTGGAATTCTTTGTTTGCAAGTTAGACTAACCTGCATGAATGTCAGTATTTGCTTATTTACTGGAATCTATCCATCTCTGATTATCTACTCGTGAGGACAACTTTCCAGAGAATTGACAATTTCAACACCAAAAAAAAGAAAGAAAAACTATCCAGATTTGTCAAGAAATGTTTGCGCAACTTGATGAAAGACTACGATTTTCAAAAACAGAAAAAAAATGGTGGTGGGTGATGTGACATTTTGGAACTGCTTGATAATATGATATTTTGGACCAAATAACAGAGGCAGCCGAAATTCCATTAAGGAAGTTCAAATTATTGTTCGAGCAGATTGATTGAAATTTAAACTTAAACTGATTGCAGCTTATCAAATTGATTATTTATACCAGAGACACCACACTCATGATGCATGTACAAGTCCGTAAATCTCAAACAATAATTATTATTTTATTAAATCAATCCTAATAAAATATATTGTAAAATGACTAGAAAATTAAAAATTATTGACGAGAGCAGCATTATTAAAGAAAAGGAATTCCTGGGATGTCAGAGCATAAACTGTCATTGCAGTGATAGAAAGAGAGAGGTACCTCTTATCTTTGGAGAGCTGATTTGCTTCTCGGAGAAGGCTTGGAGCTGCTGGTCAAGTTTTTGAAGGGCTTCTTTGGCCTTATCTGAGTCTATCTCATATTTTTCCGAGTCTTTCTCTACAGCGTGGACAATAAAAGAAGGTACAAAATAAGATTGGTCTTTGCTTGTTCTCTTGAAACCATTACCACATACAGGTGCCAGCCCCAGAGAAGCTACTGGTGTAGTCTTCTTGTTAGTGAGCCAAGAGAGTCGCGGAAGGGGTGATGGCTGCCTGATATTGCAGAGGGAGAGACAGCAGAAAGAAAGCATCTGAATGTACAAGAAAATGAAACCAGAGCCACTTCATCAACAGCTGACGATAAGGAGTTAGCTAGAGTGCAAGCATGGTGTATGGCAATTGGAGCTGGGGGTAATCTGAGCTCAGCTGTTCAGGATAGGATTTGGTTATTCCATTTTTTGGTTAGATGATAAGCGAGGAGCTAGTTTCTTTGGGACATAAGGCAGGCCTGGGCTTGCCAACTGGGCTTTCATCATCCGATAAATCATGGGTGAGTCTTGTGCTCTAGAAACTAACAAGTGGGCTTAACCTTGTTATATTCAAATCTTTTCGGTTTCCTACCAAATATAGATTAATCTTGTTTATGGAGGTCTAATATATATACCCCCTTCTGATGGTGTGATTTTAAAAAATATTTTTTATTTAAAAATATAAAAAAAAATTACTTTTAAATATAAAGAAAAAGAACTTGAAGTAAAGAAAAAATTAAAATAAATAATC